GGATAAAAAAAATCTAGTGGATTTAATCAAAATGTAACTCCTTATAGGATTTTATTGATGGATTTGTATAATCATGATTTTTAACTTTTGGATTTTAAAGATTATATCCTAAGATTTTATAAGATTTGAAAGGACCACATGAATTTATATCTGGGCTTGAAAAAATAGGGCTATAGCCCAAACCAAAATTTGAAACTTTTTTCAATGTCTAGCCCGATAGATATAATGAACCCAGAATTTCATACCCTTAAAAGAAAGGGTTTTTCGCAGTAATGGTCCATCAACTATACCCGTAGTTGCATTTGGGTCACTGAACTCAATTATTAGTTGCAGAGGTCACTCAACTGTGTGTTTTGTTGCACCAGTAGTCCTTCCGTCAAGTCTGGCTAACGTGGTGTCAATTTCATGGGCAAATTTATCTTTTGAAGTTTGGCATGTACAACCTCCCATCTACAGCAACTTCCCTCCGAAAAATGTCAAATCTGGCGCCAAATAAATCCCCAATTCCCATTTATATTCGAAGAAAGCGACATAAAAATAGTAGATGTGCTGAAATTTTGGAAATTCGAAGGAAATTTGGGAAGCCACATAAAAACAGTAGATGCACAAAAATGTCGCAGATTTCTTCTTCATCAACAAATCCGAGCCCTAGTGCGAGGAAGCTATGCAAGTGCGGTGGATATATCAAAACCTGGACTTTATGGACTGATTTAAATCCTGGGAGAAGATTTGAGGCTTGTGAGATGAGTCGAGTAAGTTAATCTGTGAAATTTTATTTTGTTGCTTGATGGGTTTAGCTTTGATGTTATGAAACGTACTTTACAGAGAAACAAAAGAAATGGGTATCATTGGGAGTGGTTGGACGCACCAACCTGTGCAAGAGGAAAAGAACTAATTCCTGGGTTGCTAGGAAGAATGAGAGCAATGGAAGAGGTCCTAAAGTTAATAGAAGAACAGAAGAAAGAAGTGGAAGATAAGCTGAAAATGGTGGAGAGAGAAAAGAAGGAATTGGAGTACGAAGTTGGAGAACTAGGCAAGCAGAAAAGACTATTGGAAGAGAAAAGAACAGGCCAACGACCAAGAGAGAATCATTTTGGGGGGTTTCATTTCTGTCATTGGGTCTTGGGTTTTTGGTGATTATGATGATGCTCTGTGTCTTGAGCAATTGGTTGACATTTCCGGGTGGAAACTATGAAAAGCTTATGATCAATTAGGTTGAAATGTAACCGATATGTAGTTCATTCTGCAATGAAATTTGAGTTCGAGTTTGGTGGACATATTGGTGTTAGTGTATTGAAATTTTGCAATGTTGAGTTCATTTTGCAATGAAATTTGATGATGCTCTGTACCAGCTCCAAAATGTACCAAATCAGCATATATAACATCCAGTTACAGCTTCCAAAATGTACCAAATTAGGTTCCAAGTGAAACAGAAGCATAATGTACCAAATGTACCAAATCAGGTTCCAAGTTACAGCTTCCAAAATGTACCAAATGTACCAAAATTTATCAATTCAAGTTCCAAAATGTACCAAATACAAAACAATGACAGTAAGTTCCAGCCCAGAGACTCAAAAAACACATCTAACTACTTCAAAAAAGACATCCAACAGACATCCTCCTAGTTAGCCTTCAAAACATCCATGGTTTAAGCTTCTTGGCAGGAGACTTCACTCTCTTGGCAAGAGACTTGAATCTCTTGGCAGGTGATAAGTCCATAAATTTACACATTTATGTACTCTTTATACTTAGTTTTTGTAGGAGAATTTGATTTAAAAAGGACTTATTACTTTATTTTCTCAATTTTCAGCTTTTCAGAGCAAGTAATTTGTTTTCAATGGAAATATGACTTTTTGGTGGAATTTCAGTATGAGACCAATTGGAGATGAAAGCTAAGACCTTGAAGATGATTGTGGAATTTTTCTAGAATTTTTGGAGTAGCCAATGAGAGCAGTCTTTGAAGTTAAGTCAGCATAAGGTGCAATCCCGTCAAAACTGTGCTGTTGTGGAAGAATGATTATTTGAAGACTTTCCTGATTTTTCCTCAAGGCGTGCGATATATGGCTGGAAAGATAAGACAAAAACCTACAATTTACATATTTTTCCCGATTTTTATTGGAGGAGAAACAACTCCAAATGTGTATGCAAAGTAGCTGATGTGTTATCTCAGTCCAAGTAGGAAGAGGAATCAAATACTTACCCATTTTGGATTTATGTTTTAATTAGGTTTTTCTTTATTCTTGGGCTGCTGTAAAAGCCCAGCTAGGGTAGGAATAGAGGTGGGGTGTTTTATTTAAGCATGAGAAACAACTCCCTTGGGGAGATGCAAAGACTAGGAGAAATTGGGACACCGGAAGAGTACAGCAATTGGCTAAGTTTTATTATTTCTTCCTTATGTTTTTGCTTATGTCGAATTCTATGATTATGTGTAACTAATTTTCTCTTGCTAGGGCATGATGTAGCCCTAGTATGATAATCTAGTTTTCTTATTTTACCTATCTATTGATCGTTGTTTGATGTTGGATTATTAATCACTGTGCTTAATAACTTGGTTTCTTATCTTGATGCTTGATCACCATCTAGACTTTTAATTGAGTTAATCAGATGCAAATTAGAGTAAATATCATACTTAATTTGAGGCTTGCTTCTTGTGATTAGGATTTGTAATTCGTCTAGGGTAAATACCATATTCCTAGGGTTTACATGCTTGTTCGAGGTTTCACTGATCTTAATGAGTTTCTATGTGTTGATATTTGACCTAAATACCATAGGCGAATTGCATGTAGGAATATACGAGTTAGCCTAAATACCATAGGTAATTCATTAAAAATGAAAACTAAGCGGCGACATCAAATTGTTAGTTAATAGGTAGGTGAATAGGAGGCTAGATTGGATTACTAGTGGTGAATTCATTGTCCTAGTGCTTTTATCAATTTGAATTTCTCATCTTGTGTTTCGTGACTTTCTACTTATTTTGTCTTTTAATTTCGTTGGTAATTAAATCATTCTTTCACCTTTCGTGTTTACGTGAGTATGCTACGTGTTTAATTTCTTGTTTATATAATTAGAGTAGTTAAATTATTTTGTGAAGTAAATTAGGTTAGACTAATTGGAAGTTGAACTCAATCCTTGGGAATGACCTCGTATTTGCCATACTATATTACGATTGACCTTGTGCACTTGCGAGTATAATTTGTGTTTAGACTAATCTTTATAATCTCAATTTTTCAGGTTGTCTAAAATTCACAACAGCAGGAGACTTGGGTGGTTGTGATGATGATGATGTAGCTCCAGTGTAAGAGACTGGCTGTGATGATGATGATGTAGCTCCAGTGTAAGAGACTGGCTATGATGATGATGGGAGTGGTTGTGATGATGAGAAATTGTTTGGCATTTCCATTGTCCCATTTCCAACCTAAAAGAAAATGGAACCATATTAACTAACTAAAGTAAATTAACCAACCAAAGTAGCATGACAGAGTTGTCACTTATATTTCCTCTTCCAGTTGGCATTTCTCCTCTCCCATTTCGTCTCCCTCTTCCTGTAGTAGTTCCTCTACCTCTCCCTCTGCCTCTAGTTGGGTTGGGCTAATTAGGGTGGGCCTAAAAAACAAAAATAAACATGATATAAACTAAACAATAACAAAAAAAGGGTCATATGAACTGGTTGGGCCTAAATACCAAAACAAAATTAAACTAAAGAGATTTTAACCCAAATACCTGAGCTACCCCTTGGATTGTAGAAGAGGCAACTGATCCTTAGTTGGGCTGATTAGGAACGGCCTACAATAACAAAAACAAAAAAATCAATTAAAGTTGTCAACAACAAAAGTAAATTAAACTACAGAATGCATTACCCAAATACCTGAGCTGCCCCTTAGACCGTAGAAGAGGCAACTGATCCTTGGTTGGGCTGATTAGGAATGGCCTACAATAAAAAAAACAAAAAACCAATTAAAGTTGTCAACAACAAAAGTAAATTGAACTAAACAATGCATTACCCAAATACCTGAGCTGCCCCTTGGACTGTAGAAAAGGCAACTGATCCTTGGTTGGGCTGATTAGGAAAGGCCTACAATAACAAAAACAAAAAACTAATTTAAGTAAATAATAACAAAAGTAAATTAAACTACAGAAAATATAACCCAAATACCTATGCTGTCCCTTGGTTGGCATGCCGTGTCTTATTATGTCCCTCTTGGCCGCAAATTAAGCATATTATCTTGACATAAATCCTTCTCAACTTAGTAGGTGGTGGATTGTAAAAGGGGGGCAAAGGGTTTGGAGGAACTAGAGCAGGTACTTCAACATCAGCTAGTTCTTTGTTCCTTGATTTCTTAGGTCTTCCAGGCTGCTTGTTATATGGAGGAGGTTTAATTGGAGGCCAATTAGTTCTCTGCCACTGGTCCATGGATGGTATTGGGTGTACCATAGGTTCATATGAACTCAGGTAGGCTTCTTTCTTATAGCAGTCATGTGCATAATCAAACACATTTGCCTCCTTTTGAAAGATACAAGAAATAGCATGAGAACATGGGATCCCACACAAATCCCATCTTCTACAAGAGAAAGTCTTGGCTTTTAGATCCACTACATACTCTCCCCCATACATATGGCTCACTTGGTATTTGCTGTCACCTGCTAATCTAGGAATGCATTGACTAGCTCCCAACTTGTTCTTCTCAATGATCTTGACAATCCTGGGCCCAACTGGATGTCTCCAAACTGTACCAGCAATCATTTCTAGACATGTTAAGATAGACTTGTCTCTTGAATCTAAAATGCAAGAGTTAAAGGATTCACAGAGGTTGTTCAACAACAGATCACACTTAGAATGTGGCTCATAATAAGATATACTCCAATTTTTGGCTGGTATTTTCTTAACCCACTTCCATGCCTCTTCATCTTGTCTTTCATCTTGTCCATTTCTGCTTCATACCAGGGAATGGTAGTTGCTCTTGCTGCAGCCCAGAGGATGTTTTCAGTGCAAGGCCATCATGCTATGTCCTGAAGTTGCTGTAGAGATGCCTAACACACATTCTGTGCTCAGCTGTTGGAAGCAATGTCTCAATTGCAGGTATTAGACCTTTTTGCTTGTCACTCATAAACACCCAAGCTTTCCCATTCTCAATTTTTAAGTCTTCAATCAAAAGTTCAAGGAACCAAAGCCAACTACTTTTTGATTCCACCTCTACAACAGCATAAGAAACTGGGTACAGTCCATTATTCCCATCAACACCAACGATTGTTAAAACTTGCCATGTGTAAGGTCCCTTTAAATGGCAACCATCTATACCAATCAGAGGTCTACATCCTGCCAAAAATCCCCTCTTACAAGCTTCCAAACATACATAAATTCTTTCAAACACAGATACATTACCCTTCATCTTATTCTTTATAATCACAGTGCTACCCTTGTTAGTCTTCTTCAATTCTTCTGTAGAGTCCCATAGCCTCGCATATTGCTCCACATAGCTGCCCTCAATGATCACCTTGGACAAGTTCTTTGCTTTATAAATTTGATGCTTTGAAACATTTATATGGTACTTTTCTAAAACCTCAGCCTTGAATGCCCCTACATCCCACTTAGGGATTTTTCCTAATCTTGTCAGCAAACCTTTTGGACAGCCACTTGAATTAGTATATTTCAGTTTGTCCACTCTTGAATTAGTATATTTCAGTTTGTCCACTCTAGTACACTCATGCTCTAAGGATAGAGTCTTTATGGCAAATGTCTGCTCATTTATGTCTATCTTGGAAGCAAACAGAATAAAAGGGCATTTCGTGTGACCTGCACACTTTGCTTGAATCCTTTTATTATCATTCTTCACCAATTCAACATTCCTCCCTTGCACAATTGCATACTCCCTAATAGCTTCCTCGAGTTCATCCTTATTGGCAAATTGCATTCCAATTCTAAACTTTGGATTTCTCAAATCAATTTCTTTCCTAAACTGTTTAAAATTTGTCTTCTTCCATTTCCTCTTGCTTGTCTTTTTTTGACCTTCTTCCTCATCACCAGAGCTATCACCATCAGAAGGAAGTCGATCACTATCTTCATCATTATCTGATATCTCCCCTGTAGCTTCATTAAAAGGCATTTCATTCATCTCTTCAAAACATTGTGCATATTCATCATTTGACATTTGGTGCGTCGTTCCTTGGTTGTGCTCTTGATGCAGCCTCTTTATTACCATTTTCTTCTTCTTCACTTAATTCATAATCACTGTCAACAATAACATCCTCTTTTTCCTCCTCTTCCTCCTCTTCCCCCTTCATATTCATCTTCATTGTCAACAGCTTCACTGTGTTGTTGTTGCCTTTATCTTCACTCTCTAGCTCGTTGTTATGAATAGGATCATGGTAATACAACACCAATACCTGATCTGATGAAATGCTCCCAACCAACCCTGGAATACAACTATCATTTACAACCTCATTCACAACATGCTAACCACTTTTTGCAGGCCCCTTATAGTAAACTTTTAAGCTTGTAACCCTTTGTGTTATATCAACTTTGTATCAAAGATCTATCCCAATTTTCTTTAAATCCAATAATGATAGATAGTCATGAATACAGTTGTCAACATAGCATACTTTGCCTCCCTTATACATGCCATTCTCCAAAATACCAAAGTGGTGGAGTTCAAGAGTACACAGCTCTTCTTTATCTACCTCATTACACAAAGGTATGCTTACAAACAATTTCAATGACAATGAGGACAAAGTAAACAAGGAAGACAAAGTAAGTGCAAGCATGTGCAAGTGTGAAATCACTTCCATGAAAAACCGCCAGAAATGGGACCACAGACAATAATAAAGATTCCAACTACATTTTTTTCCACCTTAAAGCCAAAACTTCATTGTCAACAACAGGACCACACATTTGCAAACATAATATATTGCAATATAAAATGTGAAGGAATATTTAGGTTATAGTAACTTACCATACTTGGGGGGTTCTCCAGACCACCGAAAAATTGTCTCCATTTGAAGAAGCCTCCACACACTGTAGACCCAACACTTTTCTCTGTGATTTCCACGAAACTGAAATCCTATATATGTACTTTATCACTTTTTTAACTCAAAATACTTTGCTACTTAGTCCATTAACGCATAATGCTGAGATAATGTTCCAAAATCCCCCAAAAATCGAAGTCCAATGCCTCTCGATTTGAAAACCCTAGACTCGATTTTCCCCTTTTGCTCAGACTGCAATTTCTGTGCAACTGTCGTTCTCTTCAAAACCAGAAGATTCGTTTTAATTAACTGAAAAGTCAGATTTGCCCCTCACGAATCTATGAGAATCTCGTAGATGCTTGCCATGTCATCATTTTAAACGGAAAAAACTAACGGACTTGACAGAAGGACTACTAGTGCAACGAAACACATAGTTGAGTGACCTTTGCAACTAATAATTGAGTTCAGTGACCCAAATGCAACTACGGGTATAGTTGAGGGACCATTGCTGCGACAAACCCTAAAAGAAAAGAAAAAAGGTAGCCCATGCATTATCCACAAGTACAGCAGTGGACCTTGACAATGTTTGTGCTTAATAAATCAAGGTCATGAACTAATTGAAGGGACTTCCCTCCGGCCTTGGCGCCTACCGTTTCGTCAAGCATTTCGCCTTCCTAAAAACAAAAGAAGAGCTGCAAAGGCAGAATCCTCTCGGCTTCGCTACCACGGTATTGAAGGCCGAGGCCGAAGGCCGTAAAAGACACGGCTTAAAAAGGCTATGGTTAAGTCACCACGTGGCCTTAGGGCCCCACGCTTCATTTAATGAAGTAATGCCTCTGACTTCGCAGCAAACCCACTAGTTACGAGAAGCATTAAATGCACAAGGGAAGTGACTAAAGTCAAGATTTGGTGATGGAAATCAGGGTGGTTAGGCGCAGACATTCTCACAAGTAATCTCACGACTTAGAGTCGGATCACCAACCACCATACCAGGGCATTAAATGCGTTCCCACGGCCAAAGGGGCAAAACCCACGATCAGGGCGATGGCCGAGATTTACCGGGATTTATGGGAGTCACACCACCATGCTTCACCATCCCAAACCACCATGCTTCACGATTCCAAATGCCGATTTGACTACCCACTTGCCCCGATCAGGCTCCACCACGCAGGTCTTTTCAGCCTCGATTGTCCCTCCAGGACTCCTCCTATAAATACAGGACTACATTCAAAGGGTTCAAACACCAAACCAAAAGCCTCCCACGGAGCAAATTATATTTCCCTGTAATGCACTTTCAATACCTTTATTTATTGTCTTAGGAGTAGTGGTAGATTGTAAGGAGAATCCATTCATCAATATATCATACGACCCTTGATTTTCAAGGC